AACTTTTTACTGGAAAAATCTTTTCTTATTAAGATCTCCATCAGCACCAGTATGTTGGCTATTCTCACTGGGGTGCCTATAAAGCCTATAAAGTAGGCCATTTTAAAATATATTTTAATTGAAAATATTTGAAAGAATACAATACCCTATTTCTAATCTCACCGTTTTAATACTATTTAATTTTCCACCTGACTTTAATCATAAACCACAGTAATCTGCTCACCTGGCTTTTCCCCTCAGACACACATTCACACACCTACACCTGTCTCTCTCTCTCTCCCTCTGCCTATCTGTCTGCTCTGTCTTTATCTGTCATCACCAACAGCTGTGTTCACTGTGTCTTTACCTGGTCCCTGCTTTGCATTATCCATCGTTGTCTTCTAACGTGATACAGGAATGCATCTCTTTCTGTGTATTTCTCTGCAGATGTACAGTAAATAGTGGGCGTTGCGTCTTTCACTCTAGTGAATAACTTCCACGCACGTAATACATGTTTTAGCGTGTGTGTGGCGGTGACATTAGGTTACTGTCTGCTGTGAACACACGTGAAACACGGCGCAGTGTGGTTGTAACGTTCAGTGTGACTAGCAGAAAATTGGATATTTGACACTGCTCGCCCGGTCACTGGTCAATGACGATTAAGCTGAAACCGGTCTATTTCAGTCCTCAGCTGATCAATCCGTGCATTTCTAGCTGTAGAAGGTGACTTACTATCAAACAAACTATTAAACAAGCTTACAATAAAATAGTGGGCTCATGGAAAGATGAGAAAAAATGGGTTATTATAATTTTTGTCAGCTCTAGAAAACTCATCTAAGCTCTTGAAAACTCATCTAAGCTCTTGAAAACTCATCTAAGCTCTTGAAAACTCATCTCTTCTGAGAACACTTCCTCTTATAACACCTCTAACTCCAAACATCTAACATGCACTTCCTGTGCTCTTCTTCTTCTGTCCCCTACAATTACCTTGTATTGATTGTACTTTTTGTTAACTCTAACTTCTTTCCCTAGGTATTTACCCCATTGATGCGATATGTGCCATTAGAGCTTACTAGCATTTATTGATGCTTTTATTAATATCTATTGTCAGTTGTAGATCTTGTGCTGTATTTTATGCTCTGTTAATGATGTTAATGTTGTTCCTCAAATGTAAGCCTGAACACCAATCTAGAGGCTGCATTTAAAAAACGTTTTTGAAAATGTGCATCTTAAAATAAATTAATTTTATTTGTTGCTCAATTTCACAAAAAAAAAACCCAAAAAACCTGTAGCATTGATTGATTGAAGTTCAGTCGCAACCAATTTTATAATTAACACTCAACACATCTTAACAAATGCATAGCTTTAATGCCCCCCTTTCTCTTTCATTCCCTCTTATAAAACTCCCACTTCCCTACTTTCTCTTGTTCAGTGAGAAATGTGAGCTCTAGCTAGGATTAGAGATATATGAGATATTCTGGTTTTGAACTTTCTGTGGGAAAAATGTACATGTGAGAATCTGTACATTCTTTTTTAAAAGCCATGTGAAATCTCTTTTCTCTTTCGTCTCCTCTCTCCCTGTGTAGGCCTATGTCACTCACGGACTCGACTCGCAATGCTCAGGGATGTTAATGGCTTTGGCAATGCTTATCGGAATGCACAGATTTGATTGGCTGAGCAGCATCACATGAGACGATTGGAACACACGCAATTGGTCTGTGAGTTTCCTGGGCCACTAAACCAGTACGGTAAATGCTAGAAAAGCTGTGCGGGTTAAAATAGAAACGCTCTGTCACGAGGTAGTAATTCTCAATAATAGATCGGCTGTACGTCTGGGTCCGGAAAGTACGGCGGCTGGGTCCGGACCTGGACCTTGGTCCGCCTATTAGTGACCTCTGAACTAGAGAACGACTCTGTCGAGTTTGGCAGCGTTTGAAGAAAGGCTTGGGGAGATATAGATGTTAATTGAATTAGCATATTCTGAAAAATATAGAGCAACTGACTTCTGAATTGGCCATAGGTTGCAGTGAGGCAAACGATCATAAATCAACGTCATAAATCAGTGGATGTGCTGAAAAAATGTCAGCTCTCTAAGAGGTACGGATGATTTTCTTAGATTTTTTGAGGAATGTTAGGAATGAGAAATGCCTAGAAATGTACATTTCTTGTAATAAGCAATCATTACCAAATTTTATACATCAACTGAGTAGTGACCCGAGATTGTACAAACTGAATTTCGTACAAATCCATCCAGCGAATTAAGAGGTATAAACTTTTTGCAAGTGTATCGCCCCCTAGTGGAAGAATATCCCAGGACTGCTCAGCAAAGCTCGGGCCGAGCATCTGAACAGATGCGTCGATTTTGGTGAGAATAGCTTAAGCCAATTTTGATTTATGGGCATTTATGTAAAATTGTACGTAAATATACAAAAGTAGAAATTTATGAAAAAAAAACAGATTGACGTATCAAAATTCTTTTGATAACTTTTGATCAGTGACGTTCGTAGATGATTCTGCCAAAGTTTCAGGTCGATTGGCGATACCGTCTGGGACCAGTTTGCAAAAATAGGTTTTAGAGAAAAGTGATAAAAAGTTGTATAATTTGACAGCAGAAGACCATTGGAGCAAAGATGCAGATGAATCCAGAGATTAAAATAATGAAATAAGTTCAACTCTAAATGAAGCAGTTTTTGAGATAATTGCAAAAACGCAAAGTTGATTGTTATAGCGCCACCATGAGGTCTATGAGGGCCATTTTTTTGCCAGAGTAGTGGGTGGAATTTGCAACCTACGTGCTAATTTTGGTGAGTTTTCGTCCAGCAGTTTTTGCTGCCTAAACACTTTTAGCGGAGAAAAAGAAAGAAAGAAATAGGGTTCCAGCAGCTTTGCTGCTTGGATCCCTAATAACAAAAACAATAGGGGTCCAGTGGCTTCGCTGAATTGATCCCTAAAAGATAGGCCTGGCAGCAACAACGCTGTCTGTGTTTACACCACACGTGTGCGAGCCGCAGCAGTTCATCGAGAGAGCTGTCACGCACAGATAGAGGTAGACAGTGTGGTCTTAGAGTGACACCACAAATTCTTTTTGCACTTGGGTTTTCTGGATGGATTAAAAAATTAACTTTTGAAGTGCTGGTGGATTTTGCTACCTTTGGACAGAACCAGGCTAGCTGTTTCCCCGTTTCCAGTCTTTATGCAAAGCTTTACACTCACAGGCCACTTTATTAAGTACACCAGTTCAATTGCTTGTTGACACAAATAGCTAATAGGCCAATCACATTGCAGCAACTCAGTGCATTTGGGCATGGTCAAGACAACTTGCTGAAGTTCAAACCGAGCATCAGAATGGGGAAGGAAAGGGGATTTAAGTGACTTTGAACGTGGCATGGTTGTTTGTGCCAGACAGGCTGGTCTGAGTATTTCAGAAACTGTTGATCTACTTGGATTTTCATTCACAACCATCTCTAGGGTTTACAGAGAATGGTCCAAAAAAGAGAAAATAGAAATATGAGCAGCAGTTGTGTGGATGAAAATGCCTTGTTGATGTCAGAGGTCAGAGGAGACAGACTGATTCGAGATGACAGAAAGGCAACTGTAACTCAAATAAACACTCGTTACAACCAAGGTATGCAGAATACCATCTCTGAATGCACAACATGCCAAACCTTGACAGCATGGATCCATCCTGCCTTGTATCAAAGGTTCATGCTAGTGGCAGTGCTGTAAAGGTGTGAGGGATATTTTCTTGGCACACTTTGGGCCCCTTCTTGCCAATTGAGCATTGTTTAAACGCAACAGTCTACCTGAGTATTGTTGCTGACCATGTCCATCCCTTTATGACCACAGTGTACCCATCTTCTGATGGCTGGATAATGCACCATGTCACAAAGCTCAAATCATCTCAAACTAGTTTCTTGTGACAATGAGTTCACTGTACTCCAATGGCCTCCACAGTCACCAGATCTCAATCCAATGGAGCACCTTTGGGATGTGGTAGAACGGGAGATTCTCATCACGGAGGTGCAACCGACAAATCTGCAGCAACTGCGTGATGTTATCATGTCAATATGGACCAAAGTCTCAAACAATCCAGTTATTTCCTATAACAAATAATCATTAACAAAGTGACAGCTCAAGGTGACAGGTAACACCAAATAATAGGTGAGCAATGACCTTCACCAGTCACATGGAGTCTACAAAGTCCTCAGTGGCCTGCATGGGTGACACATTTGCAGGGCCACCAACTAACAAACACTAATTAGGGGTGTAGTGGAAGCTAAATCCAGTTGAACTCAACATTTTAGGCTGACTATACATTTGTGGAAAATTCTTGAGACATAAAGGTAAAGTGAGGCACTTATAATGAATATAGGCTATATCAGAATTTATGTATTTCCTTATAATGGTAATTGTTTGACATATAATTATCGTATATTTTACCCACATTTAATTTATTATTGCCACTGACATAAAGGTGGCCATTACATTATTCATTTCTAGTAGCCTATACAGATCCAACGGCTCTGTTTGTGTGAAGCAATTTTCTGAAGGGCAAAACGTATGAACCATTATAATCTTGGCAAAAAAACCTTTAGGCAATGAGAAATTATTTCATGGTTGTCGAGCTGAGGGCCCATGAGCCTGAAGATCTATTACCTCAATTATTCAGCATGGTCTCAAAATGAGGGTGGCAGGTGAGTTGTAGGCCAGTTATTAAAAGGGCTCTGCTCGGGACCCAGAAAGATATTGGATTTGGTTTCGTAACACAGCAGTGGTAGGTGTGTTTGGGCTCGTTTGGAGCAGCATGATAGGGCTTGCCTCATCGCACAAATCCAACCACGTTTGATCTCACGGCGACGCGCAAACAACGTGCCAGATTTCCAGTGTGATTGATGAGCGGCTGTCCGGAGGGTTTCAAGGTGGACAGTCGAGAGACAGAAGAAGAAAAGCGTCATTTGTATTTTTGCACATGTAGTCCTCGGGAAAGTTAAAGGGGCCCGGTCTCATTGAAGGGGATGAAGGGCACATGGTAGGAGGGCAGCTGCTGGTTCTCTCTCACCAGCACGGCGTTTCTGCACGGAGGAGGAATTTCACGTGAAGGGGGAGGCGCCCGAGCAAGGCGAGCGGCACGACTGCTGCCCGAATTTAACAATTAACCTTGATGAACACAGATTGGTTCCACTTAACAGGCGCAGGTGCGTGGAGTTTGCGATACGGCGCAGCAGAGCGATTCCATGTATATCACCGGACATTGACGCATTTTATGCCAAACACAGAAACTACACGGATAGAGGATATTGAAGCTGATATTTTCTTTTTTTCACGGGACAGGATACTCGTTGCAATGGGAGCCCGTCCGACACTCGTCCTCTTGCAGAATCCGAATCCAGGAGCATTGTTGAATTAATTTGGAGACCTAGCCTAAATCGGAATTTGACCGCCGTGTCATTGCCCATTCCAGCAGTCCCAGCAGCTGAGAGGCGTCTTCTTAACGGCGAAGACGAGAAGGGGCGAAAAACTGTCCGCTTCACTACTCTCTATCTGCGCTCTGGACGGCCTGAAATGAGGACCACATCCCGGCTGTGATCGGTGTGAAGAGGCAAGCGGGGCGGCAGTTTCTTCGGCTCTCAAGGACGCAAAAAAGTGGCCGCCGGCCGAGCTGCTGAGGCATGGAGCGGGACGACACCGACACCGTGAGCGCGTCCAAAAAGACAATAATTGCCAAGATATTCAAAGTTCGCAAGAGGAGGGAGATGCTTTTCGTTCAGGTGTGCTTTATCTGCAGTGTACTGTTCGTGGCGTGGAGCATGTCGGCGGTGCTGACCAAGACAGGTGAGTGTGTGTGTTGGGGGGGGTCTGCTGAGATGCACCGGGGCACAGGGAGCCGAGGACGGGAGCAGAACGGCCCAGAAATCTGCAGTGAAATCATGCACCCACACGCATATCCGTTAATTGTAGAACTACCACTGGTCGATCACATAAGGAGACCATACGCTTAAATGTCAAGGGCATGGAATCAAAGCGTTACATTCGCTTGCAGTCCGTCTTCCTGTCCGAAATGCATATGCCATGCCTCTGATGTGGTGGTCTGCCAATTTAGATTAAGTCTGTAGTTTGCATTAAATAGCAGTAAATCGCTATGCCTCGCCCCCCAGTAGGAAAAGTCAGCTGCACATGTTGTCAGTTCACAGCAGTTTAAAAAAAAAAATCTCATTGGAGTAGCCTATATACACGCGTCTGTTTGTCCGTAGCGTATATGCCGCAGTGTGCGCGCCGTGGCAGCGGTACGTTTTTGATTTGAGGCAGGCTCATAATCACGGCTCTCGCACATGCACGAAACGATAAAGTAACCGACCCCAGAACAAACACAATTTGGTTCCGGTTTGTTTGCGTTTCGCTATTTTCTCCCAAATATTGCGTTGTTTTTTTGCCACCAGGCGCATCGTCGGCCACACTAAAGTGAGGCTCAGGATCGTGGTTAATGCTGGCATCATTGCGCCTGGCCCGGGGCTTCACACACCATTGCACACATTGGATCACCTCAGTCAGAGCATCATCACGCTTCCAGGTTCCGCATGGCCACGGAGGGATGCTGATTTTACGCAGAGGCCACCGACGATCATTTAGCCTACGGGGGGGGGTGTTTTTGCTTGAATGTTGCAACAATACTCATAACTATTGCCCGTGGTGTGCGCTGTGAAAACGACTCAGATGGCTGATCGTGATGCGCGCGATGCCCACATGCAGGCGCGCACACACTCCAAACAACATGCCCTCCCATGCACACATGTCACAACTCTCATCTCGGGCCCGTGCGAACGCTGACACGCAGACCATCCCACACAGCCTCACACACACGTTATGTAATCTAACGACCAACCTTGACATTTTGCTGGTGAATAATGATATCTGACACAGCACTAGAATGGTGCCCCCCCAACACATACACAAACTCATCTACTGCCTGACTGTAGATCTCCAAGGGATGTATTGGGAGTTTTATTAATTACATTAAAACAACAAGAGGCTTAAAAGATTATTGTGGAATGATATCATACAGGCAAGTGCAAATCTCTATCTCCAAAGGCAGGCAGAGAGCCAAAGTAAGGCTCCCCCCACCCACCTCCGGCCGCTAATGGCTTGCCTTTTTTCATTTAATCAAGCCTGCCTGACCCGCACATTGATAGTCATGTGGGGCTATTAGACAGAAGGCATTACTCGTGAATTGTTAAGGCCGTTTGACCAGCAGCAGTGGGAATGGTGGGAATTCAAGGTGACATGCATGAGAAGTGTTTGACGAGCGAGGGAAACAGAAATCCCCTCTGAACCCACGAGACCCAAAGCGCACCATAATCAGATCTGTCTAATTGAATAGCTGTGGCCTTCTCATCTTTCAGCTGTCACAACAGGAACAAGCCTTTGTCATGTCACAGTAAAACCTGTGCTCTGCCTGTGCCACCCATTTGATTGATAGAAGTGTGGGGGAGTGTTGATGTGCTGAATGGTCCAGATGGATGGGATTTGATGTACTACTCCTGGGTTACATCTCCATAAAGAGGGGTGCGGCAAGACATGCTGTCGTGCATGCTGATCAGGCTGCGTGTGTGTATGTGTGATGGATGTCCGCATGGGGGACTAGAACAGGTGTTTTTTGAGAAGCTGGGCAGGACTCGGCGCTGACAGGTAGCTGCAGCAGGTTGACTGTGATAGCCTGGGGGTGGAGGGGGGCTGCTCTGGGGGTGTTTGGCAACAGGAAGGTAACTACTCGTTTAAGGAGTGCATGTTCACTGCGTAGAAAGACTGATGGATGGTTGTCCTTGGTCCATCTCCCTGCTGAGCTGATTGAACAGACCTGGAGGATGACATTACCTCTGTTGTTGCTTGCACACTCTTGTCTCCCTCTGCTATTCAGTATAGTCTGAGAGATGTAGTCGAATCGTTTTGTTTTTTTTTTTTTTTTTTTTGGTTCTGCTCCAAAGGAACAAGTAGATTTAGCGTCTCGTTAATGTAACATCTTTCTGCACTGCAGTTTTCAGAATATCAGGTTGATCTTTTGTGGTATACACATAAGATGTGCATATAATAACAGGCATATATGATGTAAACCTCCACTAATGCTGAACAATTTCAAATCTGACACAGGGCTTCAACTAGTTATCGATTTATCTTTCAAGTTTTTTTGGGGGGGGGGCGGGGAAATTTAATATTGTCTATAAAACATCAGAAAACCGTAAAATGTCTATCTCCAGATGTTTTGTTTTCCAGTCTAAACCTAAAGACTAAGACTAGTAAAAAAAATCACATTTGGGAGGCTAGAACTAAACAATACCTTTTTTTTTTTTTACACCAGCACCTAAGGATACACCGATTTCTTGACTCCAACAAAGAAGTTAGATTTAAATTTAAACTTACTAAAGGGCTAAAACAAATCATTATTCTCATTAATGATATTTTCCTTTCAAACCATAAAATAACTTTTGTTTTACAAGTTCTCAAATCCCAAAGTGACCCCCCCAGTTGTTGATATTCCTTGTTCCAGCAGCAAAGCTCAAGGTATTGAATTTATAAAGCTATGAAATGGCAATGAAGTAAAGTCACCAAATTCCTTTTGAAAATCTAAGGTTTTTAAGATTTCCTGCTGGCAAACTAATAAAAGGTTAATCAGGGCTAATCAAAATATCCCCCGAGTTCTTCACGACACCAAAACACCGGGGGTCACTGAACATGAAGAAACGACAATGAATCAAAATGACTCAACTGGGAGAAGAAAGCAGACTTAGCATGAGCCAGCAACGTCATGCCCACAACAGACTGCAGCCCTTATTTTACCCCCAGCCTCGCTAGAAGTACTGACAGAATCATGTGTTCATTGTTTTTGCCTCTCAGATGCTTGACGGGGAGGGCGCGCACACACACGTGCTGCCTTTCTTTTAGTCTTCCAGGAAATGTAATAGGTTTTGTGTCTTTAACAACAAAATTTCATTGTTGTCATCAACCGATTTTTACACATAACTGCCTGGAGAAATTAAATTTAGACAGACTGTGATGAACAATTTTCCAAACAGTTTGTTGTGTAAATGTGAAAGATCAGTATGACAAGTGATCATCTCTTGGCACAGTGTCCACATGTTTTGTTGTGTTTGCAAACTGGCATCCGTGTGCTTCCCCCTGGTATTAAATTGGACAGTGTTTTATTGCTTGGATAAAATAAACCAGAAAGGGGGGAGGCAAAAGAAGAGTGTAAACTGAACTGGCTAGTGAGGAGGAACAGGTTATAGCATTGACTGGAGGGTTTTGTCTTTTTGGATTGGAGAGCTGTCGGAAGCAGCTGCAGTCGCCTTGTGTACAATCTGTTTGTCCAGCGCCTGCTGATTGTCAGGCTGTCTAAGTAACTCTACTGTAATGAAAGCCATTTAATGAAGTAATTTCTGTGTCAGTACACCAAAAACACCATTAGGTCCAGGTAAATGAATCAAGGTGGGTTTATTTTATTTTATTTTTTAGGTGTTCTTGTTGTCTCTGGTCGGCTTTAGCATTTATGTGCTACAATTACTCATCACACACTGTACACCAATACTGATGTTGATGCAATAAGCTAATGCCTATTTATTAGCCTAGCTCTACTGTACTCTATATAACATTTGAATGTTTTAAGCAGTAAAATGTCCTAAATGTCTTTACATTTTCAAGGTATTTATTTTGTTGCCAGACATAGGTATTCTGTTGATGACTGACATGTAAATAAACTAAACAATCAATTCACAGGACATTCCCTAGTGATCTACTCATAACTGTGTACACAGCACTACCATTCAATCATCAGTAAAGTTATTGCTTTGTCAATTCAACATTGCATTTGCATGGTCACATTTTATGAAAATTGCAAGTTTAAAATGCCGCTTGGCTCATTGGTAGGATTTTACATAATAGACTTGGGGCTGCGTTTTTTTTATGTCCTCATTACAGAGGCTTAAGAGCAGTTTTAAAAATGTAACTTGTATGCTCCTCCTCCCACTCTCCCATTCCCAAAGATAATGGCACAGCAGCTGCATTTTTGATATTATTGCTGCCGCCAGATGAAAATTTCATATCTGCATAAGCAAAAACTTTTAAGGGATTAAAGCAAAGCAACCTTATTTGGATTAATGGTGGTGATCATGGATGTTTTGGGTCATGAAACCTACTCTGTGCGAGAGTGGCCATGTTAGTTTTGGTGGTGGCTTATTTTTAAAACCATGCAAAATTGGAAAAAAGGTTTCTCTGCAGCAAAAGGAAAGACTTAGAATCGTTCCAGGAGATCTTTAACATTAACATCCACTGTAAACAAATACTAAGTAACACGCTTAGGTTTCATTTGTGTTGAATGTATGATAAGCAAAGCTTTTTTTTTGTTTTTTTTTGTTTCAGGCCATGGGATGATAGTGGAGGGACATCCTGATGTTGAACATTGGGGAAGACGGCTAATGGCTTCACTGCCAGACAATGAAACGGAGCAGAAGAACTGTTCAGCGCCAGGTATGTTCTGTAAGATCTAACAAATGTTGTTCCGTAAGATAAACATTTGTACAAAAAATAACAATGGTTTAAATGGCTTTGTAATGTAAAGAGGCTGCTTACAGTGAGGATCCACAGACAATAGTCACCAGACTCCGCAGGATTCCTCAGCCTCACTGATCATTTAGTGACTTTCAGTTCATTGTTTTGATTTAACTCCCTGTGACATAACAATTTTTTTTTGTTTGTTTTTTTTACTCCCACTGTTCTCATCAATCACATCTCTAGATGCAACAGGAAGCTGTCTTTTTTTGTTTCGGCAAAAAAAGCCCTGGAAAAACTACCTGCCCAGCACTGAATAGCAGAAACAAATTCAGCGACTAGCTAGTGAATGTAATGGTGCATTTAGAAGTGATGTGCCAGATATTTCCCTCAGGAGCTCTGTTTATGGATAACAAAACAAGCTAAAAGGAGACTGAATATTTGACTTGCATTCATCAGGTTAGACAAACATGACTGCAAATAAATATTAATGTTGCTCCATGTCTACTGGATGTGTAAATAGGCACCTGTTTGCTAACACATTTACCACAGCATTATGAGGATTAAAAAATGAATAATTAAATTACTAATTTCAAATATTCAAGATCTCCTTATTGTGTCAACACCAGAACAAATTAAGTCTCAAGACCAGTTAAGCCAGGAAATAATTCTTAAATGCAATAATTTAGATTCTTAAGATCTGATTTATGTGCATCACCACATAATCGACCAATTAATGCACAGGGAGTGATGTATACAATCCCAAGATCATTAAATACACAGACATCTATGGGTGAACTCCTATTTTTCTCCTCAAAACACCCATAAATTGTAGAGTTTTGAGTTGATTATTGATAATTGAGTTTGATTCATCTCCTTGTTGGGCCTCCTATTATTCTGACTCAATTTAGATCACTCGCGCTGTAATAAGCACTGAAATGGCTATGAACGGTCAGATATTATGTTACAGCATCTTTGGTACACTTAAAGGAAGCTGCATTCTCTATAATTATACTGGATTGTATATTGACAGTTTCACTGACACTGCTGACATCTGCATCAGGCTACTAAAAACATGAAAGCCAGATTTTTCATGAAATGATTGATTTGAAATGGTATACAAGTACTGGCAGCAGCGGTGTGTCATTTGTTGTCTGTTTTTCATTTCCATGTCATTTGAATTGCCTTAGTCTCTTTGATTTATGACCACTGGTTCACTTGAGCTTTTTGCGATCCTGCATGACTCAGTGGGAAAAGCTTTGCATTAAAGCTGCCTTGGCTAGAGATTTAAGTCTTGAATACTTAATTTGCTTAAATGGGGTACGACTCAGTATTGGGATGTGTATTATTTGTATTTGACTAGCACACACAGACAATTTAGGAAGAAATTTGAAAATGTACAGTTTTTTTTTTTTTTTTTTGCTGCATCACAAATGACCCAGTAAGGACTAACTGGCTATTACTTCATTCTTGGCCACAGAAGGCAGAATCCCTCAGGATTAGTGAGTCATTGGCACTGTTACCAGCTATTTCACATAAAAGCAAAACAAACATTTTTACACCACTGACTTTAAACAATTTCACATTTTAATGGTCACAGTACTGAATAGTGAAGTCACAGAGGGGGTCCTGTTGAAATGAGCACCAAATGACAAGATTATGTGCTTGAAGTTTTCCTCCTAATCCTACAGGATTATATTCTTTTTTTTTTTTTTTTTTCCCCATTCACATGTCTTCCACACAGGAGGCACCAGATTGGGCTTCACATTCCACACATTTCTCAGCAGCTCTAGTCCTCCTCCCTCTTATCCCACCACTGTTCATCTGTGTGAGCTGATCATATGATTCTTGGTTCTTGGTCTTGTGAATAATCCTGTCATAGTCACGTACTTCAGGCCCCTCAGCTGACGGGTTGCTCTGTTTGGTCCGTTATGGGCAGAATGAGGGCTGTGATGTTGCCTGTATCTTTATTCTGCAAAAGATGCAACAAAGTCATTTAGACTCCAAGGTCAAATTCTCTCTCTGGATTTTGGAAATACAAAATCTATAGACGGGTTACCTTCTTCTCCATTTCAATATTTTTATTATTTTCTATTACATAACCAAGTGTACAGTTTTACAAATTCAAAGCGCTCCTATAGACAGAATGCAAATGTACACCAATCTTCCTCCAGTTCGATTATGATCATTATACCCCCACGAGGGAAACCAACACGTGTGTGATAAGAACGACATCTAACGTCACAAAGACAGAAAATACATCAAGCAAGAAAGATGTCCACATGGACCATTCTCTCACTCACTCTCCCTCTCTCTCTCTTGCTTGACACACCTGGAAAAAGTCGTCAGTGAACGTGTGATTGGATTCCCCTGAATTTCCTCAGTGAAATGAAAATAAACATCCATAGGTTACTGAATGCGGATCAAACGCAGGGACATGCACACACTGCAGCACATGCTTTATTGTGAGCATGTGCAAAAGTGTCCATATCAATTTCTTTAACAAGGGAGGGAAAAAAATGTCGATTATACAATTTTCCCAAAGGGAGTCCTGCACTCTACCGACTGAACTAAACCTACTCATGCGTAATTAAGGGTAGAAATAATTTGACTGTGTTCTGGCCCGCCATGTAACGGCTTGAGAAAAATTTGTCCCAAAGCCAGACTTATTTGCCGACCCCTGATGTACAGCAATGAAGCTTAGTATCTTGAGACAAGACAAAATCTGCCATCACTTCACAAGCATCAAGAAAATGGAACTTAATTCAAGAAAAGTCTGGCAACAAGTTGATTTAGGTTTTTTTGGTGAGAGAAAATCACACTGAGCTTGTGTTTTGACATGATTCCTGGACAAGAATTAAAAGGAAAATTTTCATACTTTTCAATCTCTGGGTCTTGCACTCATTTACTCAACTCTGCTTTGCGCTCAAACTGTGTATGTAGAGATTTGGGAATCGTGACTTTTATCAATGAGGCAAGCAACGCAAACTTTCTAAAGTTTTCCAAAAATGTTTTTATATAAATTATTTGAAACTCTTGTCTCTGAATCTGAGTGATGATAAACAGAAGTTACCTGCTTGGAGTAGCTCTTATTGCTGGCGTCAAAGAGATGTACTTGCCAGGCAGCCAGTTGCTAACACAGGTATCTCTCAAACAGAAAAACTTAAAATGACTTCACACTTTCTGTGGTGAATAAAGAAAAGTTGTGTTGCTTAAGCTTGTTTTGTCAAGGGGAATTATTGCTAATGAAACAAAATCCAATTAGGGAGAGAAGGAAGTATCAGATGGCCTATTGTCTGTGGAAAAAGTAAATCTTTCTAGCAAGAATTGAATCTCTTATCTTTTTAGATGAATCAGCCACAGGAATTGTACAACTCTGACAATAAGCGAGACACATGTTTTTGTCACAAAGCCGTGTGTGTGTCCTAATTCCCTGTGCAGTTGTCTGTCCAGAGCTGATGAGCCAGCAGTGGACCAGTGATGGCACTGGTGTGCACCCCGAAGGGGAAAGCACTAACGGTGGATGGACCCAGGCTCAATTGGATGAGAATTATTATTAGAGGTTTTGTTTTATGCTGAGTGTGTGCAATCTCTGAAGCTCTGTTTAATTAAGCTTCTGTTTGTGGGCTGCATAGATTACACTCAGTCAGCTTTGGCCAGTCTGCCTTTTCCTCATTATTTCTGTGATCAGCGAGGGAGCCATTTCCTGGGTTCACAAGGCACTTAATGTTTTGCTTGTCCCGAGACTTGTGCTGCTAAGGCAACCGTTCATCATAAGTGCCTCTTTTATTGGCCATTCAGTAATAACTCCTGGATAAGTCTAGGTGCTGTCCAAACAGTTTTGTCATGCTCCTGGTTGATTACAATGCATGCTTGTGATCTACAAAGGACAAAATCACACTGCAAGGAGCTGATTCAACCTCTAAATACACTTTAACAATCACACTCAGATGTTGAGTCATACCACCCCTTGACATGCATTTACCCTGGAGCAAATGACAAAATGGAACAAAAGTGCTCTTTTTCTCCTAAAATTTCCAATAAATCTGGAACAAAAGTAACTTAAAAAAAAAAAAAAAAAATTATCAGTGACATGGTTTGCTTGGGGACACAGAATATTAGATTATACTCTCTTATAGGGGGGGGACAGCACACCGTGCCTGATATTCTGTGGGAGGAATAATTTGCTTTAAATAAAGATTCCTCTGATGTCATATTAAACCTAACATAACTGGCCCTGGTAGAAGTAGATGACAGCACAAAAAGTAGAAGTGAACAAAGGTTTTAGTATGGCTTTGTTTGTACTATGAATTAATCTGAGATTTGCTTATAGTGATTTTTAGATCAAACAAATCTGCTCATGGGTAGGGGCTGCACATGCTACATCTTAGGCATGAGAAATGGAGTGGGTGAAGAGGAACTGTGGCTAATTCTGCAAAAGCTGCAGTGTTGAATATTGTGTAAATGCTAGTGAGTAGAGGGTGATTTCTGCTGGATTTGAGGCAAACGCATGGATGGACCATTGTGAGATGTCTTTTTGTGGGGGGGGTAGGCAAGAAATTTGGCGGTATAAAGCGTGCCAGTGTGTATAGGCCAGCACACTTTGGAATGCTGGTTTGTCAACTCCAGGGAAACACCAGAAGGAGGCTTTTAAAAAGGGAATTACACAAGCAGGGATTATGCTGCTGTGCATAATGGAAAGTGACCTCGCTTTGCTTCTCCCTCGCATGCCAATGGTGGAACAATGCAGCAGAGAGGGGAGCGCAGGCACGAGCACCTGCACAGAGCACTCTCCACACTGTGCAGTGCAAACACGCCTGACCTCTTTATGTATTCATTCACATTTTGTTCTGCTTCAGATTTGCTGCCTCTCTGTTACTCAAACTTCCCTTCTGTTCTACTTGTGGCTTTCATGGAGTAGCTTCTTATTTTATTAAACCTGAGGGTAGAAAGGACATTTCACTGGGTCTTAAGACACA